GAAAACCAATCATTTATAGAGCATCCTTGACCTGGGGGAGAGAATCGTGTCAAAAGATGTTTCATAGGGAGGGGAGGGGGGAACACAAAACACTAGTGCTCAGTGTTCGGGGGAACACATAACTCGGGGGAACACAAATCCCTGTGACAGCGGAAGCGTTAGTTTAGGTTTGATTGCAGAGCAGAAAGGTTTATAAAACTCGCCACATAAAGCCTGTTTCTGCTTTAAGGTACGTAAACAAGACTCTATTTTGTATTGTTGGGTATTTCTCAAAGAAACGAAGTTCGGGTCAGTGCAAGCAAACACTTCTCTTGATCATGCTAATGTATTTAATGCTTTCTTCTCCAATCGGTTTTTGGTCCGGCTGATCAGGGAAATGTAACTGATTGCCTACCCGACCTTGGCTATAGTATAGATCACACATTAGACACATTGAATATAAGTACTGACAAAGTTCTTGACCAATTAAAGCAACTCAATGTGAACAAGGCATCGCTAGGTATTCCGACTAAGCTTTTGCGAGCGTGTGCAGTAGAAATTGCACCATCGTTAAGTCGACTGTTTAATGTCTTTACAGACTGGGTCTTTCCCTAAAGAATGGAAAGACGCTAACCTAGTTCCTGTTCATAAATCTGAATCAAAGGCTGAAGTTACTAATTATAGAGGTATATCATTACTTAACACGTTATCTAAGATACTAGAAAAGCTAGTGTACAATGAGATTTTTGATTTCACCACACATATTACGCAGTGGCAACATGGTTTTCTACCAAGTAAGTCTACTGTTACTCAATTAGTTCAAGTCGTACATGATTTTGCTAAAGCCTTAGAGAGGAAAAAACAAGTTGATGTCATCTATCTTGATTTTTCCAAGGCATTTGATCGAGTTCCCCATGAGAAGCTGTTATTTAAGCTTGAAAGCCTTGGTATTAGTGGTTCTTTATTATCTTGGTTCAGATCTTACTTGACTGGTAGAAGACATAGGGTTGTTTTGAATAACGAAGCATCTAATTATTTATCTGTGACTTCCGGAGTTCCTCAGGGTTCAAATTTGGGTCCACTTCTGTTTTTGATTTTCATCAATGATATGCCTAAGGTCATCTAAACGGAATCATCTTTACCTCTTTTTGCTGATGATTCTAAATGTTTTAGATTGGTTTTAGGTCAGGATGATGGAGACCAGTTACAGGATGACTTGAATGAATTATTCAAGTGGTCTTGTACATGGGGGATGGAATTTAATGTTTCCAAGTGTAAGGTTTTAAGAATAGCACGTGTGAAGTCCATTATTGACAGAGATTATTTTCTTGGGGGAAATAAATTAGAGCGGGTTACTGTTGAGAAAGATCTTGGCGTATTAGTTAGTGATGACTTGAGTTGGAATAATCACGTAGATCATATTACCTCTAAAGCTCAACGTATGTTGAATCTACTTCATAGAACATGTAGAGATATTGATGATATTAATACTAAGAAGTTAGTTTATATAACTTGGGTGCGGTCACGACTAGAATACGCTAGTGTGGTATGGTCACCATTTACTAAGAGAAATGTGGTTAAGTTAGAACAAATACAACGCAAGGCCACTAGATTGATATTAGGCAAGCAATTATCTGAATATGAGCGTCTAACTAAGTTGAATTTGCTACCATTGCAATAACGGAGAGAAATTTCTGATTTGATATTTTTCTTCAAGTGTTTTAAAAACTTGTACCAATTAGATATATCTAGATATGTTTCGTTTCGTACATGCGTTAGACCGCTTCGCAATATTGATCATTTGACACTTACTGTTCCTTTTTCTCGTACTGAATCTTTTAAAAATACATATTTTATAAGAATTTGTAGACTTTGGAATAGTTTAGCTCTTAATATTAGAGAGTCCAATACGTTGACCAAATTTCATAAATGTTTATTTACTTTTTATAAGACTAAATATTTTAATAACTATAGATTGCTCAAATAGTTTTTGTATTTAATTATTAGTTTTAATTCAGTTATGGTAGTTATTTATTAGTATATTATTAATTTGTGTTAATTATTAATATAGTATTTTTAATTTATTTAATTTGTATTTAGTTTTTCTTGTATATATTTTTGGCTATAGTATATATTTTTAATCTCGGCTAGACTATATAAAGGAATCTTAAATTCTGTTTGGTCTAGCTCAGATACATTAGATTAGACTGAACCTGAATGTAATGTATTTGAAATTTGATTGAATAAATAAATTAAATAAAAGAGATTTGATCTCACACTAAGTGAAATCGAGTCGTCCATATTTTATAGACTATGCATTACTTTAGATTTATAAAATAAACTTTATTTTAAAGAGGGTAGAGACAAATTAACCACAAAGGTTTATCTAACATATGGCCCTCTGAGATTTTTTTTAAATGTTGGTTTTTACGGAGAAAAAAAAACCAGCAAAAAAATCTCGCAGCATAAACAAGACGTGGAAAATCAAGTATGCTTGACTGAGTCTGTATGTAAAGAAAGACCGAATTTGGATCTTTTCAGGAGCATTACAACATTACGGCACTCGTGATACTTATTAAGGATCAGTCAAATAATTTTAGCTTGTTTTGCCATGTATTTTTCTGTGCGTGCATGCTTTTTCGAAGAAAAATGAGATGAATGTTACGATTCATTGACATCAATGCAAAAATGTGCTTATGCACCTGTCACTGGAAACCCCCACCCCAGGGAGGTATGGGGTATAGTTGGGGAATTATTGGGGATTTGATCTATTTGATCTATCGATGGGTTGGAGGATTATACGTGTTTTAGTACTTTGCCTGCCTTTAGGGGTGGGGGATTTGTCAATTTAGAAAAGTGGAGGACTGGGGTGGAGGAATCTTGGCAGAGCAACCATGTGCTTTTCTTCTTAAAATTCCAAGATGGAGAGTCACAATATAAGTGAGTAAACACATTTTTATTTGGTATGTTTTATATGAATATCTGAATTGAGAGCTCATCTGTCCTTTTGATATTGGTAAAGAATGGTTTTAAGAGATTGAATTTGTATTTTTTGTTTTGATAACAGCCTTCCAATGTCAATTTTTTTCTTTTTTTTTTTGTAGATCAATATTTTTGCATCAAACTTTTATGTTTTAAAATAGAGCTTTTGCTTTGGACTTCATATTTTTAATATAAAAGCTTGTCTACATTAATTTTTTAAAATGTGCAGCCTCTGTCCAGTTTCATTTCATAAAAAGCAAATTCAAAATATGATTAAAGAAAAATGATAAAAAAAAGAAAAGATATAGATAAATAAAATGAAATGAATAAACTTCAAGGCATTGGGCGTATGAGACTTGAGTGTTTTGAGTGAAGGCAACATTACGAAACATGAGCTCATGCGTTGCAGTGGTGTGGTGGGGATTATAATAAAAATTATAAAGTATCAAAATGAGAAAGCTCTGGGATGGTCATTTGATCTACCATAGAGGTCAGTATTTGACCTACACGTTTCAAAACTTCTAGCACCAGGAGATTAACCCTACGTGTAACAAAACAACTGGGACACACAACGTTGGCCTGTGTGTGTGTATTATGTGTAGAAAGAATATACATAAGTAGTGTGTGTCAGAAATTAAACTAACATATAGGTATTAGTACATTAGTTTTCCCCCATAGTGGGGGACTTTGTTCATGTTTGATTGGGGGTTTGAAATAAAAAATGTCCCCTGTATATGGTGCATTATCTTGGTTTTGTTTTGCTTTATGAGTGACAGGTGCATTACTTGCATTTTTACCATTACGGATCCCGCTCATTTTTACAACGGTTCATAGCATTTCTTCTTCTCTTAAAAATATGTATAACATATTACTACATAAAATATAAATTGATGATTTTCTATCATAAAAGCAAAATGGCTAAAGCAGAAGATTTACATATTGGTGATCATATCGATAATGATGCATGTATTATAAAATAATAGGGATAGTACGCGTGCTATGATTGGTCGAAAACCGTGTTTGATGAGGGTATCAAAACAAGTTCGCGTCATCCTTTAACAAATACATCAGAATAATACGATATTTTTTTCGTTTTTTGGCGTGTTAATAATCAGGAGGATTCAACGGAACCAATGTATTTGGTCAATCTGCTAAGATACAAATGATAAAAACTTTGGTTTGCTGTTTAATTTGCTTTCATTAGTGACTGCATTAAGTTTGAGCTCGATCCGAAGCTTATTTGCCGAGATTTTTCATAATTTGCTCTATCCCTCATAAAAATTGGAAAGGTTGGAGACTCTGGCTCCTACCAGTGAATACCCTCGACACTAATATGGCATATAAAGGCACTTTTTACCGATTTTCTTGGCTCTAAACCCATGGAGTTTCGTAAATACAAAGCAAGTTTGGGAGTTCTCAAAACTGGAAAAGCCTTTAGGCGAGTCCAATTTGAGAACTTTCAAAACATCACAAGTATATCTATGAATTCTGAATTGTATGAGAAGAATGTCTGTTTTTTTGTTTATAATACACTCAACAAAAGTGAGCAACTCGATTGGGACTCTACAGAGTACAATTTGGGATTTAATTGTACTCCTTGTCCAATCAGAATCGAGTAATTTTGTTGAGTGAACTATAACAGTAAAAACTTGTTTATTTGAAAATTTCGTTTTTATCTAACACTTCAAAGTGGTTCGTTTCATATCTGTCTTTGAGGCCATATTTTGTAATATTTTGAGTTCATTTATCACCGGTAGCACAAAACAAGAATAGTGCCCCCCACCCCTCCCCCCTCCCTCCCTTTTATCATATATTTGAAATATCCATGATGCAATAAATGACTATACAAAGTTTGGGGGAAATTACATTTATCCTTCTATTTTAAGGGAATCATCTTAAAAATAGAATTTTGAATACACTGTTGAAAGCCTAAATGTTTGAGCTAGTGAAATTCAGAAATATCAGAGTGTTTTTATGAGGGAGTTTTAAAATATCGCAAAATGCATTCCCAATGATGTTCTTCTTATTCACACAGTCCCAAACTATTACACTAGTTAGTAGTACCCACTAGTCATCAGATTAATCAGTATTCTTATATGTGATGTTCTACTCTCACTGGTTCCAGAGGCTGTGGTTGACAAAGGTTTCTTTCTTAAAAAGTTGGGAGATTTTTCCTTACTTCAAAGTTCATAATTACAGCTTACGATCAAGAGCATTTGTTTGGGCCATATGATGGAGATTATAATTATATTATGTTTTTTTTTTACAGTTTTATTCTGGCATGGCTCATAGTTCAGGAAATCATTCAGATKATGACGTGATCCCTGGGTAATATGACTTTTTTGAATTAATGTTGAAATTTAATTGTCTTGCATATATCTCACAACCATTACTCCCCATATGGAACTCTTCCATTAGGTTACTCCACATGCACTACCGCTACATTCACAACACAACATACAATGCATATGTCAATTTTTAGGGAGGGAGGAAAACTGGAAAAAACTTTGTCGGAAGGGAAAGAAAACACATCTAACAAACTCAAACCACATATGCAGTTCGGCTAAGAATTGAGCCGGCTACCCTAGGCACAAACTACACAGCAGTGATATATAGACACTGTTGTAGCAAAACATGCCACATACTGTCCATCTGAAAAGCATGTTGTCACATTTCAGTCGTACCAATTCTAATTTATACACAAATTTATTAGCAATACGCCTTTGTTTTAGAAGAGCTGCACATGTTTTTTAATACACAGGGTGTGTACGTATTTTAATTCCTTATTATATTCTGTTTTACAAGGGAAAAAATGAAGCTAGAAAAAGATGATTCTTGGCCTTCTTCTTCAGCACAAGAGAAGTCTATAAGGTATATATAAACCATGGATAATATGAAAAATGTTTATGTTGAAGCCATTAAGTTTGAAGAGGGAGTTGATGAAAGCTCACACCCACAAAATTTACAGTAGTTTTTTATTGCAAAAACTTTATTCTGCAAAATGTTATTGTGACACAATTGGGATGTCCATAATAATAGAATAAAGAAAAGTGTGGATCGTGAATATCAGTTTAAGAGAATAGATATTTAACACAGCAAACTTCTGCAAATGGTAAAAGCTATGTTCAAAAAGATAACTTTTCTTCATGCATTGAAGTAAAAATATTGTAAAAGATTTGTAATGAACTGTACTGAATACGAAGTTACTAATCATTTTTACATTTTATTTCACAGATCAAGCCAAAAGTTACTGTTTAAAGTAAAATTTTCTGGAAAAACTAAAGATTGCCAGACTAACGGTCAGGAAACTATAAAAGACATGCTAATTCGCTATCATCCAAAATTGCCAAAGGAAAGAGCTTTTAAAAATATGATTTTCAAAAGAATTCGTAATGATTGTGCTATAAACTTAGGGTTACCAACAGGAGCCCTTAGTGATGAAGAATATGAGTGTGTCATTAGGACTAAAAGTGATGGGGGGGAATCAGATTTTGCTAATATGAGACAATATAATGTGAAAAACTATAGAAAAGATTGGGACATGGGCTGCTTCTTCATCAAATTTGACAAGAAGCGTAATTTTCAACCTTCAGTTGGGGACATAAGAACGGAAGTAGATATGGTCCAAATAGACTTCTTCCAAGAAGAAAGTCTGTATGGAGCTATAGTAAGAGATAAACGGTTACAAATTAAAAATGATAAGGGTCAATTAGTTGTTGCAAAGTGGTATTTTAAACTGGATGATTCCGAGGTATCTCTCAGTAATGATGCTAAACTCTACAAGGAAAATTCTTTTAAATTGTATCAAAAGCGACAAGCAGATACGAAACTTCCAGAAAGTGTGCCAGAATTGCTGGAACCCAATCTTGCTGGTGCTAAAATTTACTGTTTAAAAGAAAATGATACAGTAAAACCTGAATCAAATTCAAATGCATCATTGGTGGCCATGAGCACAAATTTTGACATTCAAGCCAGTAGCTCTGGTTCTAATTCACAGGGTATAAAGTTCACCTGTGACACAGACTTTGAGGATTTTTTAAAAAGGCATTTTAACGTTGAGGTTCAGAAACAAGCTGAACAAAAGATTGAAAAAAAGAGAATTTCTAGTATTAAAAGATTTTTTAGCCAACATTACAACAACTTTGCCTTAACAAAAGGAAATGTAAGATCAGCTTCTAAATGGAAGGATTTGACAATGATTTTTGATTCTGTGGGAGCAGTTGTAGTTGAGCTTGATAGTGGTAAAGAATTCTCTATAGGCACATGTTTTGTGATTGGATCAGAGTATGTGATTACAAATAGACATGTTTTTGACATGACCTTGAACCATGTTGGATTCAAGGATTTCTATGTAGACTTCGAGTATAAACATGGTTGTCATGGTTACAAGTTTAGATTTTCCAAGACACCTGTAATAAGCTCTGATGCTGATTTTGCAAATGATTATGCAATTTTGCAATTGCGTGAATCAGACAAAGAGCTGCCTCCAAGTTTAGCCAAATGTGGTTATGTTATACCGAGCATTGATGACAACATCAATGCAGGTACCTGGTTGACCCTTGTAGGATACCCCCAGGGTGCTGATGGCAAGGTTGTTGAAGATGCATGTCCCATAGAAAACCCTTCCAGTCTGCATAAAGATGTGGTTTTATCTTTGAGTCTATATGACCATACAACTCTTAAGGACTTGAAGAGACGTACCTATCACACAGGTGCATTTTTTCATGGGTCATCAGGGTCACCTGGTGTACTGATGAATGAAAAGTTGTTGGTTGTACTTCATTGTAGAGGTTTTTTCCTTCAAGATAACGAGGGTAGCATCATTGAACAAGGAGTTAAAATGACTGCTATAAAAAATGATGTTGACATTAAAATCAAATATGGTATTTTGAAAGGGTTTACACTAAATGAGCTTTTTGATATTCCTCTAAATCCCAAGGAGGAACCAATGGCAATAGATTTAGATGCTGGGCAAAGTATTTAAATATAAGAAAGTTTGAATTTTTGTAGATTTGTGATTCGAGCATAGATAGAATAAAAAGCCTTAGTTCATAACATTGGCACAGCAATTATTACAAAAGGCTATCGCAAGGTCTTATCTGCTCTGGGTGCTCAGCTGTCCTTAGTTAAATGTTATTTTTAGCAAAGTATCTAAAGAAACAACTATAATTATTGAATATATAAACTTCAATCAGTTTATAAGCCTCAAAACCGTAGTTTTGACCAATCCTATGAAATAGGTGTTTAATGAGGCCATACTTCGTTTTGTTGGCTTTAAAATAAAATAATGTAATGGTCAGAACATGATGGAAATAGCTAAAAATATATTGATTTAAAAAATATATGAAAAAATTGTAAAACATATGTAAGTTAGTCGTCTTATTCTTGAATTTCACTTAGGGGTTTCTATCACATAAATTAAAATTGTAAGAAAAAAATATTCTTTTTGCTTAACTTTTCTCTTGTGTGCAGAAAAGCCAGCGCTTCCTAATTCGATGAAATTTCGGGTTGAAGTCGAGTCGTTAGCCCCGATAGGAAAGGGAAAGACACCGGGGGGGGGGGGGGGGGGGGGGGGGGGGGGGGGGGGGGGGGGGGGGGTACTCTTGCCCGTTTAGGGTAGGGATGTGCCGCTGAGCCCTTTGAATCCTGACCCTGTTCCGGAGTAAAATCGCTGAAATTCATATCCTGTTCCAGAGCAAGATCTTTCTGTGTGCCCAAGTCTTCGTACGCCTGACAACGCAATTTTAGATTTTTTTCACAGGGTTTCTACTTTCATGTCATCCGCGCTACAAACTGTAACATTTGAAAGAACTTGAACCGTTGATAAAGGTCCAGTACTGCATGACGGGCCACAAAGACCTGCAACATAGCTGCATCTCAAAATGAAATTGTGCGCATTGGCTGCCCCTCGATGCAAAATCCTATATTGTTGTGTAAAATAGAAAAGACTTCCAATTCGTTGCATAAGTAGGCGTTGCTAAGACATACGGTGAAACACTGAGTGCAACACGACTTGCAGTGTTTGTTTGTGTCCATCCTTGAACTTAAACTTGTTGCTTCTAACATTTCAGGCCTCATAGAATTGAATTCTACTTCTGTACAGTGGCGCGCAACGCGTTTCATTGTATGAATGGTATTTTCTGGCCTGCGATGAAGAACGAGGGCTCTGGCATAATCCATTTTTTGAGACCAGGATTTCTTGGACTTTCGGTATAGGAGCGCACGCGTTCAAAGACTTGCCAAAAGTTAAAAATATTTTTYCCCCGATTTTTAATTTTTACTATGATTTTTACTATGATTTTTACTTCGATTTAATTTTTACTTTGCTTATTTTGATCGTTTATATATCTCATTCCAAAAATTGCGCATGCGCCAAAATATGGATTATGCCAGAGCCCTCGTTTTTTGCCGCAGGCCAGAAGAAACGCGGGCTCTGGGTACGAGGTTGCAGTAATCAACAATTGCCACAGATGTGTACAGACATAGTCCTTTGAGGTTAAACAACAGTAATGTTACAGTAATGGTTAAATTGTTTTTAAAAGGCAAAAAGATTTTTCCAGAATGTCTTTTTGTAGCAGCAAAAATTAAAAAAAAGCAACCACTGCAACGAATGATTCAAAAACTTTGACCGCTTAATTAGGATAGTGAAACCGCAGACACGACATTAAAAAAACTCAGCTAAAAACAAACAACTTGCTTGCAACGTTGCTGGTAATGGAGTAGCCTCCTTTGCAACCGTTCTTAGGGTCGTCACGAAACGTTGTGTGACGACCCTAAGAACGGCTGCAAAGGGGGCTAGTAATGGAGTGCCTCAACCAGTGAAAGTGTATCACTGACTTGAATTGGGTGGCGTTCCGCTTGTACGTTACAAGTCAGACCGCGCGTACGCGGTCCATCGACTTTTGGTAGAACCTTTACTAACCAATCAGAGTGTGTGTAACAACTTTCTAGCTGAACGTCCAATCGCCGCGCTTACTAACGAAGCTTAGGCTCGGAAAACTGTTTATTTTACTTCATCTCTTAAAAAGTTAGTAAACAAACCCTTCATGAAACATCCAAACTTGTCTCAACTGAAAGTTATTTGAACAAAAATGAAACAAGAATTTAATGGCATCTCAATGACATCTTAAAAATACATAGCAACCGATGTACTCCCGTTTTTCTCGTAACACCATGATGTTTACTCAAGGGAGCACATTAAAATTTCGTTTGTATAAGGAAAGTCATTGTTCTTGGTTGATCTATCTAGCGCGTGCAATCCATCTTGTGACAGGCGTTCCTCGTAGTGTTTTGGTTTCGGCCGATCCGAATGGCTTACGATCGTGTAAGGAAGGGAATGACTAGACTTGCCCCAAGTCGACCTCTCTTGTTTTCTCGGCGTTTTTTTAATTCGAGCGCAGCGAGCGAGCGACGAAGTCGCGAGAGGTCGACTTGTCGAACTTGCAGGATATTCATTTGCGTTTCCCGCCATTTCCGAATTTGATACGGGAGGGTCGGCTTTCGGGGGCGGAGCTAAAGGATTGTGGTTTTCATTTATTTGTTTCTTCATGTTATATCCGGAGCAGCAAAACATGTTTTATCAATAATAATGGTTGATGCTATAACTCCAACTAAAACTGTTGAAAGGATAGCGATATCTCCTGCGTCCAAACAAAAAATATGCTTTCTTTGCGCCAGTCAAGTTCCGAACAATGACTATAGACGGAAATTATTTAGTCATCTCCAACATAGGAAGCAGAGATCCCCTTTGATTTTAAAGACGTTACTTGGTCTTTCATTAAAGAGACCAAAGAGACAACAACAACAACAACAATCTCGATTAAGTTTTTCTCACCGAACCTCTTAAAATCTAAGGCGAATGGAGCGATCTCAAATGTCAGGCTTTTTCCCGCTCCTGTTGGTGCAGATATAAAAATATCTCTGCCTGAAAGATACGCTTCTATACTTTGTTTCTGGTATTCTCTTATAGTTTCGTATCCTAATTTACTTTTACCCTATGATATGGCCTCAGATATTGGTCTCATGTTGTCAGACAGATGTTGTGTTGACAGATGCCGATGGGAATCGTAGAAATAATCTTACTAATCTTACATTGTGATTGACAGCTTGGATTTCGAGCATTGTGATTGGCTATAATTTACCGACTGATTTTTGGGTCGTTAAATTTGGCAGGAAGCAAGGTCGAAAAGTCCGTCGTGCGCCCAGTAAGAAAAAACAAAGCGGGCGGCGGACTTTGCGAAAGTCTAGGGAATGACGAGCTCCGCTCCTCGCAAAATATTCGAGTAAAATCACTAAGAATACTACGAGTGAGGGCCGAGGGAGATCGTGTTACCCCTGTCTAGGCTCGGCAGTGGATCGTACACTAGCGTTGGTGCTGCATCTGTCATCGCTGTGTAAACACACTGCCACCCCACCTTTCAAAATAATTGGATTAAGCGAGCAGACGAGAGAACAATGGCAAGCAGGCTAGTAGCCTACCCCGGGGCTCTATATGGAACTTAAGGTGAATTTGATTAACCATATTAACTCTGGACGGTTGAATATTACTGACGTAAGGAGCATCGCGCGGTCGCGTCGTTGTTGGTAGAGTACAAACAGAGTCAAGTACGGAACGGCCGTTAAAGAAGTAACGCTCATAGGTCATTCAAACCGTTTGACCTTTGGAATGAAAATGTCTGCATTACGACAGCGAACGAAGGAACACGGACACAAGATAAGTAAACAAGTATAACGTTAATTGAATTCAAATAATCGAAAGGAAAAAAAAACCTATAGAAATCTAACCACATTCGGTGTCCTAGTGCCCTTGGTGGGAGACAGCATGGTGCCCTTATTACGCATTGTAAATGTTGAAGGAAAAGACGGAGAAATCGTTTCACGAACATTCGTAGACCCTCCCTTTTACAGTGTAAGTCGGAAGACCATTGATCGCATCCAAGTCAATATAAAGGATGACACAGGACAAAATGTGCCATCTGAAAGTGGAAAAGTGATTGTGCAACTACACTTCAGACAGCGGAAGCCTTTGTATGGCTAAAGCATCATGAGGAAGATTCATACTCCTAATCCCGATATCTACAAATCGTATTACCTAAAACAAGCTCAGCATGGAGATGGAAATTTACCAGCATTTCATGGCGCGAGATTTCAACGTGGCTACGGCATTGGCTCTTTCCTTAAAGGTTTATTTCGATCAGCTGTGCCTTTCCTTAGAGAAGGGGCTAAACCAGTAGGGAAAACCGCTCTTGCTACTGGAATGAACATAGCTAATGATGTAATGGCCGGTCAGGATTTAAAATCCTCCGCCAGGGCACGTGCCAATGAAGCAAAAAATAAACTTAAAGATCAAGCACTCGATACCGTCATGACTGCGGTTGGACAAAGTGGAAAGGGTATAAAACGTGGTGCTACTCCGAATAGTGCCAGTCACTCTCAGGCTAAGCGAAGGAAAACAACTGCTCCAAAAAGCAGAGGAAGAAAAACCAAGCAAACCAACCGAGGGAAAAGAGTTATAGAAAACGACATTTTTGGATCATATTAAGGAGCTATGACTTTCGTTCATCACGACTCATCAGAATGCTCAAAATCAGAACTTGATTTATTTTATGTACCACCAACGCAAACAGGTCTGGAAGCGGGACGCTTTGTGGACTATCATCCTATTTCTAACATCAGCGACAATGGTCCTATAGAATTTTTGGTCAGTGGGGCAGGGACTGAGTACATGGACTTGGCTCGTAATCAGCTTTACGTTAAAGCTAAAATCACTAAAGCAGATGGAAGTAATTTGGATCCTGATACTAAAGTTGGTCCAGTTAATTTGCTATTGAATTCTATGTTTATTAAAATTGATGTCTCGCTAAATGGTAAATTGGTGTCATCAGCCACCAACACGAACCCCTATCGTGCTATCTTGGAAAGTACTCTCAGTTTTGGCCCAGCAGCTAAACAGTCTCAACTCACCGGGGCCTTATTTTACGAAGACAGAGCAGGATATCTCGATGAAGGAGACCCCACCAAGGTCGATGCAGATGCAAACACGGGTTTGCAAGCAAGGTAAGAACACAATAAGGAATCTCAAAGTGTAGAGATGATCGGACGAATCCACGAGGATGTATTCAACATCGATCGTTTAATGATTAACGGTGTAGATTTAAGGCTGAAGCTAACACGGTCAAAGAACGAGTTTTGCCTGCTTTCATCCTCTACTGGAGCTAATTTCAAGATAGTTATTGAAGATGCTATTCTGTTCATTCGTAAAGAAAAAGTTAGTCCATCTGTAATGCTTGGTCATGCCGAAGCTCTGCGCAAAACCACAGCAAAGTACCCTATCAAGAGAATGGATTTTAAGGTTATCTCCGTTCCAAGAGGCGCTTTGAACACTTCTCAGGATAACATTTTCAACGGTCAGATCCCTAAACGCATTGTTGTTGCCATGGTAGACAATGATGCTTACTCTGGGAACTATAAAAAGAATCCGTTCAACTTTAAAACTAATGATCTCAGTTTCCTGGGAGTTTATGYTGACGGAGAACCATTGTCCTCCAAACCACTTCAACCTAAGTTCGACCCTGCCAACGGCTTAGGATTCATTATGGCCTACCAGTCTTTGTATTCAGGAACAGGCTCTATGTTTGAGGATCACGGAAATGACATAGGGTAGCATGGGTGGCTTTCGCGGCTAACGCGTCGTCTTTCACCGCTGTGAGTCCAACGGGTCGGGTCGCAGGTTCGAGCCCTGCGGTCGCCACATGTGGATTGAGTTTGTTTGATGTGCTGTTCTCTCCTATGCTATGAGGGTTTTCTCCGGGTTCTCCGGTTTCCTCCCTCCATAAAAATCAACATGTGAGTTGAGCGTTGTGTGCATAGAATATTAAATGTAGTGGTAGGGCGTGTGAGCGAAAAGTGTCCCCAATTAGTGCGAAAGCGCTAGAACGACTAGACACTTAAATAAAAGTGATTTATTTATTTATTTATTTATAACCCGGGACGAATTCAATCAAGGTTACGCCATTTTCTGCTTTGATCTAACCCCTGACCTGAGCAATGGCGCGCACTACAATCTGATAAGAAAAGGAAACCTACGTCTAGAGATCCAGTTTGCTAAGACACTCCCTGTGAGCACTAACGTTATCGTACTGGCTGAATTTGAAAATCTGGTTGAAGTAGACAACCAGAGAAACRTCTTGTTTGATTTTACGAACTAAAATGAATACAAAACAATTAGAGACGATCATGTGGATGGATAGGATCACAGCAACTGAATTTCAAGGAGTATTTCCGTCAGATGAGATGCCTGATCATGTAGACATCTTCCCAAGTGCCTATATTGCTAATGTGGACCCAAGTGATCAGCCAGGAAGCCACTGGGTCGCCATGTATTTTACGAAGGAAGGAAAAGCGGAGTTTTGGGATTCGTACGGCCAGTCTCCCCAGTTGTATTCAAGAACATTCCAAGACTTTTTAGATAGGAACTCAAATTACTGGATAATGAACCATACTGTATTACAAAGTTTAATTTCTACTGTCTGTGGTGAATATTGTATTTACTATCTGGTGCATAGGTGTCGTGGTTTTTCATTATCGACTATTGTCAATCATTTTACTCAGAGAAAACGAATCAATGATTCTATTGTGTATGAATTTGCTAAGCGTCATTACCCATCTGTATTTATGAGGGATAAAAAACGTGCAGCTGTAAAACAACAATCATCTAAGTCACAATTTAAAAATAAAACAACACTGTAAATTGATTTAATATTTTTATTTARATTTCAATAAAATGTTTACATTGGTGAACTCATATGTTTGTTGTCCATTAATATTTGATCCATCGGGGTGATATGTCTAAAGAAGCTGCAGACTTTGTGTTTCTCTTTTTCCTTTTCTTGGGACTGGGTGGAGGAGTAGGTGACGAACCTAGATCATCATCTTCATCATCATCTTCATCATCATAAACACTTCCCGCCTTGTTCTTATATTTTTCCAGAGTCTTTTTCCTAGTTTCATTTACGATCCAGTCCATAGGTGTATTGAGCCGTGCGAGACCCCGCGAAAACGTGTTCTAGTTAGAAGGTTGGAATCGCTTACGTTCGCCCATTACGTCTCTCACTAAATCAACAATGTTTGTCCCGGGTACAGGCTTGCTATTGTAAGTCAGCTCTCCACGATCATTCCAAAACATAACATCTCTGTTTTGTTTAAGTTTGTTAATCAGTAGTCTCGCCTTCGTCTTGACGGTTTTGGGCACGCTGTCCATAATCTCATCTTCTATTCGAATTTCTTTTTCTGAAGGGAGTTGTCGTTCTTCTTCTGTCTCAGTTCCATAGATCACTTTCACAGGAAGAGGTTGCTTTACGTGTCTTTGTCGGCTGAATTCTAAATATTTTTGTAAAGTTTGGTTGTACAGCTTTAGTTTCTCATCGTCTGCAATATCATGCTGTGATAAGATGTGGTTCATTTCCGAATCCAATTCACCAAGAGTTCTCACCACGGGGTTCGTTGGGGCTTTATGCTGGTGATGATGTACACTAGATAGATACGTCTCTGGGACTAATACCATTTTCCTCGCCATTATGGAAGTAGACTGGCTAATTGCTGCAGCACTGGTGCCAGTAATATGCCTAAGAAGCCTTCTCCTTGCTGCACGATAACTTTTTTCTTTTTAGGTAATGGAACACGTTTATCTGCCAAGTGCCTCAGAGTTTCTTTATGCTTCCTAAGTTTTCCTTTTTGATATGGACTCAATTTCACAATTCCTCGAAACACGTTGAGTACACACTCACAGATGGCTTTGAGTAGTTGATTATCAGCAGCGTAAAGAAGTGCTCGCCTCTGCTTTGAATTACACTTCTTGAGGATTCGCAAAAAATCAATGTTCTTTCTCATGCACTGAGAGATGTCTAAATGATGGAAATAGTGTAGGGTGTCTCTTTTTATCCCTTTTTGACGTAAGCGTACTATACTTGGTCAGGAAAAATATTAGTTCTTACGCGAAACTGTTCAGGAGTATCTTGTTTCAGGTCTAAAAATAAGTAGCCGTAGGGCTGAGAGCAAGCATCCGCATAAGCCTCTTGAAGAAATTTAGTTTTTCCTGGATACATTTGACGTGCCAAATGATTCACTTGAGCTCTATCTCGTGGATTAGAGAATAAACAAATGTAATTGCAGTTTAAAGTGCTTGTAAGCCTTTGCACAATATTTTCAGAATTGATTCTTTAAATAGTGAATAGTTGATTGTGAAAATAATTCGTCATTTGAATGTCGGGTCTTTGAGATACGAAGGTTTATATTCCCAATATGTTAATGAGTATGACGTAACATAAGGGATCATTTAATATACAACACTGCACTCGTTCTGGAATACAGTATTTTAAAAG